GAGCCTCTAATGAATAATAATAATGAAATAGTAATAAAACTGTAACATTATAACACATTGAGCCTTACTGACAGACTCCAGAGACAAACTACAATGCAGGGACAAGCAAATGTACCCGGAAGGAACACATGAGAGTGCCTCGGTGGATGAAACTGAATGAATCTGGCGGAGAGCCAAACTGTTCCCATTAAATTTGAATTTACAGCAGCACTAGCGCACGTTTAGAGCAGTAAAATGACGTCAATAGACACCTGAAATGTAATGATTTTTAACTCAGGCTATAATTTAAATCCATGCGGTTGAACTGAACGCTACCGAGCAGCAATCCAGCCACGACGGGTATTAATTGCGCTATTAACTCGTTGAATAAACGTTTCACTACCTCATTCTTCTCCTTTGCACGACAGGCCAGAGCCTAAAAAACAGGACGTCCAAACACTGAAACGTAATTTGGCTCTCTGGCTTAGGGTTGGGCCGCTTTGACAAAGGAATCTTCTTCTTTTTTTCTTTTCTTTTTTGTTACTGAGGAGGCTGTACGATCCCGTGGGTCGTGTTGCCGTGCAACGACACGCCCCGCCTACCATCCCAATGTATTCACCTGAACCGTGTTCACGTGACAAGCGCAAAGGGTCCAATCCAATCAGGATGGAGGACAGGTGTTTCTTCATCAAAGTTTCGGAGGCGGAAACCTGCTGGTTTAGTGTAAGCCGCTCCTTATTAGTCTGTCACTTCATTTGTTTTCTTTTATCAAGAACTGCTGAGGAGTAGAGCGGAGTTGTTTGATAAGAGAAACATAAAAGAAAGAAAAGGTTTTGTTGCTGGGAAGTTTAAGGAGACAGAGTACTTGGCTCGTGCGTAAGATGGATACGTCTACGAACCTTTGAAGGACTGTTGTCACTGCTGTTCCAGGTGTTGCACCAGTAAAGAAGAGGACACCGAATGCTGTTTATAGATAGCTCGTCACGATTAAAAGCCCGACGCTGACACTTTTATTAGGGTCGTTTTAACTGTCCACGCCACCTCTTGCAACACAGGTAGGATAAGTGTTTCTGAGTCCTTTTTGCGTATTGATCGCCTTTGAATCTCGGTTTGGGTTTGCACTTCTACTCTCAGACTCATTAAACCAGTTTTACAGCGACGCTAAATATGGTTACACTGGTTATTCATAGGATTAGTTGGCAAGACACCTCTCACTCATCTAAAATATATGTAGACAGGCAAACATTTAGGTAAAGTGTAATTTAAGACATTAAAACAGAAATTACACTTGTAGTAATTATGAGAGTAGATATAAGGCTGTAGAACAGCATGAATACTAAACCAACTATATATATATATGTATATATGATAAAAGAATGACAAACTGGCCCCTCAAATTGGATTATATTAAAGGACAAATACTGTAAAAGATGATAAAATCTTAAAAATTATTGATGGGTTGCGTTCCTCTTTACAGGTCACTGCATCCCTTTAGTCAAAGATGACAGAGAGGACCCCATGGTGGAAGGCATTCCTGCCAAAGAAAAAGGCCCCCAAGGATCAAGCCTTTGATGTGAACTTTGACCCTTGGGCAAAATCCTCTCCTGCAGCCTCCAAGGCCTCCCAGCCGGTGTCCAACAACAGCTCCAGCCTGCTCAGCGATGAAACCTTCGACGACTCCCGACTGGACTCGGTCTTCAATGAGCAGACTTGTCGCAGGAACATGAATATATCGCGCTCAGGCCGATTCAAAGAAAAGAAGAAGATCCGTACAACTATTCCAATAGAGCAGAAAGAGAAAGAGAACGTGACGTCTGGGAGAGAGGATGCACGGTGACAGCAAGGAGTAAAAAGCCGGGCGATCAAAGACTGCTTTACAGAGATGCTTGAAGACGGAGGAGAAGAAGAAATCAAGGTCTATGAAGATGTTTCACTCTCATGAAGCATGCCAGGAATTCTGCTGATTTTTTTTCTTTTTTTATATGTTGGTGATAATGAAGACGATGAGCATTCAAGTTTTAGCCCAATACTGGAAAAAAGGATGATTTTAGACATTTGTTGATGCACTTTGCCAGAAAGCCAAAAAAACAGTGTCAGCAATATTACACTTAGAAAACAGGAATGCCCTTTCTCCTTTCAGTGCTCCATATGTGTTTCAGGAAGGAACTGCTCATAAAATGTTTACATTTTTTCTGTAATAAGATTAATAGAAAATAATATCTAATAATATAAACCTAATAATGAAGGATATGTGTAACAATAATTTTACAGTGCTTTTTATAAGGGCTATAAGGGTGTTTATGAAGGTGTAAATGGTTCCTTTATGTGTGTGTGTGTGTGTGTGTGTGTGTGAAGAAAACAGAGAGAGAGAAAAATGGTTTGTTAGCAGCGCTTAATCAGATGCACAAAACTTGTCAGCAAAATGCATAAAATACTTCAATGAAGGATTCAAATTGACGTATTGCACAAAGCCTTTAGCAAAGCCATCACTGCTGAAATATCCAGGCAGTTGAAATGAGGACAAGGAAGTGATGTTAATTTCTTTTTAAGACTTCTCTGCTTTTGGATGGCCTCTGAATAGTTTTACATGAAGGCAAAATATGAGAAATAAATCTGACATCTGCTACAGCTGATTGGTGTGTGTCTATGTGCTTCACGAATCCCCATTTGTTGATGGATTAACCCACGCAGTGCAAAGTTTGCTTCTTCGTCCCCATTAAAAACAACTTTAACACAGAAAAGCCCATCAACAACAACAACAATAACACCAAATAAGGAAATAAATAAGAAAATCTGAAGATGGAGTAAAGCAAAAAACACCCCACCTAAAAACATGTCAGTAAATTTGGCAGCTGTGTTGAGAGTGACAACCTTGTGTGTTCTCATCACAATGTCTAAAAAAAGCACTCACAAGGAATTACAGCTAATTAAATAGAGCAGGTAGTAGATGTTAAGCCCAGGTGTGAGTCACAGGTAGTTAAAAGGAGGAGTATGCCAGTGTCGCGGCATTCTTCTGTCACTGTTTAAGGTGTGTATCTGTGTGTGTGCACAGTGCATGTCAAAGGTTATAATTGATATACCTTTTACAATTCAAATTCAAATTCAAATTTTATTTGTCACGTACAATGACACCATATTTATTGTCGGCTGTCTCATAGCTGCTAAAGTGCAACAGTTAAACGTGTAAGTGTGAAGTTGTGGGTGCACAAATGAATAAGACCGACTTGTAATACCATATCTTCAACACAAGGGGCAATAATGTACCGCCAGTAGACTGTCATACAGCAACAAACTGCAATGAACAGGAGGAAGATATACTTAGAAAAAACAAACTGTAGTTTTGTAGGGGGCAAAGAATTTACTTCAGACGTCTTTACCGCGCAGTCAGAACCCACAGTCGTGGATACACAATGCTTGTCTCCTTCCACTGGTGTAACTCAATAAGAGGGAAAGTCTTTTGGCTCCTTCAGCACGGACGAAGCCAAGGACACTGATCCTGCTTCTCTCTCTCTCTCTCTCTCTGTGTGTGTCTCTGTGTCGTTGACTGTGGAGCAGTGAGGTGTGGCTTTACTCTGTGCGCCCCCGACGCTGCGCTCCCAAGAGAATAAACCGAAAACAGCCAGGGCTGTTGTGCTGCAGTGTCGTCAGCGTCTCCGCTATAAACTCAAAAATTAAGCAAAATAAAGTTTGTGGAACTTTTTAAGATATCTGCAAGAGCACCACAACCCAGGCGTGTGATACGAAGTGTCCTCATTTGACTAAATATAACCTGGAAACTTTCTCACAAGTGTCCCGCTATGAAGAGGGCACTGCGCTAACGGACCACACTGAAGTTCTCTCTGCAAACAGGTGAAGTTCTGACATTTTCTGAAGGTAGGGCGATTTCTTAACGAGTGCACTTTTGCATGTAACGGTTTAATGTTTTTATTCTCACAGAAGTTTGTAATGAAATGTTTAAAAATGCAGGTCCAAATAGAAATGTTTATAGCAGATGAATTGGATTTATTCGAGCTCCCTGCACAGGCATGGAGCATCAAGTGTACACACCCTTTTTTTAAAATGTCCTTTCAGATACATTTTGCATTACAAAAATGTATTGGAAGTTTTATGGGCAATAATGAGTGAATAATAATAATAATGAATGAATAATATAAAAACATAAATAAATAAAACATACATGGACATTACTTAAAACCACTGTGTTGTGCTAATCCTGGCTGTTATTCTTGGGCTGGGTTTGCAAAATTAGCCATTCTTTGTGAAGACGTATCACAAATTGGTTGGGATTTTTGTAACGATTATAAAATATGGAAATAAATTACTAGAAAATAAAAAGTGTGATCCATCTTTTTTTTGGCTGCAGCAGCTGTCATATCAGATCTTCTTTCTGGGGAAGATTAAGCTCATACTTGAGGTACAAAGAAAAGCAACAACTGCTGTGAGAGGTGTACTCACCTCACTTACTTCCCCACCTGTTCTGGAAGACCTCATCTGACCGGTGTCCAGCTTCCCCCCTTTAGAGAGCTAAACTGGCAGTGTCACTGAGGCTGCTTGACACAGTTATGAAGATAGAAATAGCAACAGAGGACAGCCTGCCACTTGCAAAGAGGGAAAGCATGAACTGCACACAGACAGAATACCAGTAGCGTGATTCAGATCCGTTACTTCCATTACAAAAACATATTCAAGTAAAGGTATTTGCTAGCCATAAAATTACTTAATTAAAAGCACTTATTGTGCACTTATGTTTATTGACAGTGCTTTTAATATCTCTTGTCTTTGGATAACTTAAGCATTTTATGGCACTAAAGCTTAACAGTTCAGGTAATTTCAATATACTTTCTGTGCTGCTTAGTTGTTTAATCCACAATAAAGAACCATATTATGAGGTCATCATATGTTTACATGTTTGAAAACTATTTCCAACAAGTGAAACTATCCTGATGTTGGAAAACAGTTGTGTTTCCAGCTTCTCCTGTCTCATACAACAAGGCTTTAAATGGAATAAGAAGTAAGCAAATGTTCCCAAACCAATCCAAAAATTAATTACGCCATTTGGAGATCAATGGATTGAAAGTGTAGGGGAACTTGTAACTGAATAAAACCATCAAATAAAGTACACAAGTTTAAATTTGGACTGAAATAGTGTACTTGAGTAATTGTGCTTAGTTCTCTTCCCCCAGACGACAAGAGAGATGTGTTCAACAAAAACAGGTTCTGTTGTGTGCTTTATTAAATTGCTAAAGAGGAGCATGTGCAAATTCCACAGCCTGAGGTTTGTGCACAAACCTCAGGCTGTTTTCAGCCGGTCAGCCGAGGAAGACAGCTTATCAAAAATGCATGATGTCAAGATGGTGGGTGGACATGTCAGCGACTGTCACTGTGGACCATTTACAAGCTGTAGAAGCTGAAACATGTGACATGACTCTGTACACAAGCTGTTTCCTGGAACGCTGTTGTAGTGGACATTTAGCGGGGCTTTGATTACTGAACCAGTAGCTCTTAAAAGCTTTCTTTGCACAGTTACACTCAGTACAACCTGAAACATAAAAGAATAGAACAGTGTGTTGGGACACTGTTGTTGTTTCCTCTGGACTTTCCTTAATTTCTTTTCCATGAACTTCCATACAGTTACTGCAGTAAATGCCTTTGGACACTGACTCGAATAAAGGGTAGGGGTCCATTACTGTTCACACAACACTCTCCATTGTTCTAGCCTGAAGTAATCTGCCATGGGGCATTGTGGGAAAAGGAGGAGATGTGTCAGATTTCTCTGGAGAGGATGGAGCGCTTTGCTGTTTCCTGTTTTGTGCTGTATGGTGGTGAAAACTCTTCCTGTTCAGGGGAAGAGGGTGACAGGTCATCGAATGCACCCAGTACACAGTAGCTTCTTCTGACGCGGAGCGAATAAAAAACCCTCGAAGCACTGCATACAGGGTTTCCTGCAATAGAGTGCGCTTTGTCTTCTCCAGGTATTTGAGGCCGAGGCATGCCGGTTCCCCCACCTCCCCCTCCGCCTCCACCAGCAGCCCCGCCACCCCCACCGCCACCCAGTGCTGCCCTGCCACAGGTATAAGATTCTTCCAGCAACTCTCTTATGCAATTGCAAACACTCATTGTGTTCTTCTTGCTGATCATCGACCATCTGGAGCTCATTTGCATTATTAATTGAGCTAGTATACACACACACACACACACACTGACTTAGACACACACAACCCAGACAGCAGGCTGTCAGTGGCAAAAGAGTGTTACGTTACCCCAGCAGGCTCATAGTGTCCTCTTGTTAAATGAGCTGCTGCAGCCAGCGAACAGGGCAAAGACATGGCTCAGTAGATTCTGGATACAGCAGTAAAGGTCTGTCTGCAAAAACAAAAAAGTGATCCTCTCCACTCTTACTTCTTTTTGTTCTGTTTTTCTTCAGTGTCCATTAGATCCTCCCAAGGTCCAGTTTAGCGGAGGAGGAGGAGGTGGTGGAAGGAATGCCCTGCTGGCAGACATCCAGAAAGGAACCAAGCTCAAGAAAGTCACGCAGGTCAACGACCGCAGCGCCCCCGTCGTCAATAGTAGGTCCCACAACATGACCATCCTATAGCCTGCACATATACAGACACACTCAGTTTGTTTTCTCTAAATGTTACATCCTTACATCACAGTAGCGCCCACTCAGCCACTCTCGTAGGTGAATGGGTGCTTCATATAGTGTGTGTCTGTAGTTTGAAATATGCCAGTGTGATGTGTTCTCGTGAAACACTCGACATATTAAAGTGAAGGACAAAGAAGGGGAGAAGACTGGGGGATGTTTGGTGTCTTTGTGCTATATTTGAACTCACAAGG